GGACTAAGTTAAACTCGAGAGAATACATTCTCTTATGCTCGCACGGTGAATAAATTAAAACGAAAACATAAGGTATATGAATCCTGAAGGTTACTTGCTAGGCATATGCGGAGAATAAATTCTCACAAAGGCGTCGCTTTCTCCCCCACTTAAAAGGGTTCGGAGCTCGGGTATAGAGCCTTAGATGGAAAAAGTTAAAGATATGAAATCATTGAAAAAAAAGGTCAGTACAACTATTTATTTGAAAAATAATCAAAGATAAATAATTGGAATCGAATAAATAAATTAAAATTAAAATTTACTATTTTTGCTTAAAAAGACAACCGAAAATTAATTCTGGCCTGATTCACTTACCTTTCCCCAGCAGAGTCGCCAAGCTGTCGCATTCGTCTTTTGGGTGGGCCCGGAATTGGGCTTCGACTTAAAAAATGTTAGAGCTGCCACAGATCAGTTTTATGAAAAATTGGTTGATCGGACACCATCTTACCTGATCTGCGTTTTACCAGAAATGTGTCAGATTCGGGAGTCGGTTACAGTTAAGGAAGAATTAGCACCCTTGAACTGCCCTTTCAGTACCATTTAATTTGTCGGTTGTCTTAATTGTAAAAATTTAAATTTAAATTTAAATACTCGATTCAAATCATTTACATTTGATTAGTTAAAATTGTCCCTAAAAAAGAAAGTAAAAAATGTTAGCTTTAAAAAATAAATTAAAGATGTTATAACATGGCTCAATCATAGAATAACTTGAAAATTTATGAACACCTACATATATATCCAAACATCAACATACTGCCCAAAAGAATACTAAAATACAAACTTATATTATACATGCGCGCAGTCTTCTGATATAGGCTATAATATGAAGCAAATGTAGTTCAAAAAAAAAATCTTTAACTAGAAGGAGCTGGAGCATCATACATTACTTGTTACTGCAACAATTCTGATCTATGAGACGGCAGCAGAATGTAGAGTGGATGAGAAAGTAAATCAACATTTGAAGCCATGGCAAACGGATAGTACGATGATGAGAATCAAAGCAATCAAGATTCCAAGAACTATCAGCTTTATCTTCATGTTCTGTAACCTCATTTTTCTTCTCATCTGGGTTCCCTGCTACCGAAAATCTTGTGCCTGGGAGCGGAGATTTTATGTTTAATCCACCAAAAGCTCAATTTTCTCACCACGGTCCAGAACCTTCTCGATATTTTCCATCATAACTCCTTTGACTTCTGAAATTTGAGCTTTCACCTTGGCAATCTTACTGATCTCCTCGGGATGCTCAATGCAATACTGCATATGCTCTTTCAATTTTGGCCCAAACTCCTTGCTCAAGCTATTTGCAGGAGCAGCTGTAGCTTTTCCTCCACCATATCTCTTGGTAAAATTCTCTTTAATTCTCTCGAGAAATGCCATAGGAACCAGTCGGCCAACGGATTCAGTAGCAACCACACAATAGGCTAGGCTTTCAGTCTTTCAATGGATGATCAAAATACTAATAGAACAAACCTCCGAACCTTCTTCTACAAGCTATGAGGAACGGACACTTCTCCAGGCATAACGCCAGTGCCGCTGGTAATACCAGCAGCTTCTTGCTTGGCAGTTTCTCTTCGATCAGCTTCAAGAAAAGGATCATTAACATCTCCTCTGCCACGGTGATCGGCAAGATATGTTGTTTTCATTGATTGAATGTATTGATGAATGATCTCTACCTTGGCAGCCACATGAACAAAAAAGTCATGCACATTGGAGATGCCTTTTGGAAGAGATTGCAATAATGAGGATGCTTGATTGATAGAGTTTCTTTCAGAATTCAAAAGGAGAAGTTGTTCCAACTCTTAAATCCACTGGCAGCACTCACACAAATACTTCTCAAATCTAGCAATGGTGTACTATGGAAATGGACTTGGCTTCTTGGGAAGCCCATGGTTAAAATCAAAAACGGGTACCATGGTTGCAGCAGTTGGTTGAGCACTGGAACCTGGTGCTGCTGTTGCTCATGGAGCCTGGGATGGTGTTATCGCATTTGAAGCGCCTCTGGTGTTTGAGTGAAGGAACCGTGGCCGAAGCATCATGAAAGAACGAACAACATCCTGTGTTCCTTAGTATATCTTTCGCAGTAGCCATCAATTCTTGCAGCAAAACTCTCTGCTTCTCCGTGGCAGTGGTTATTCCCCCGTTTTTGCTTTCTCCCCATGTAATAGTGGTGGAGTAGGATTAATAGTAGTAGTGGAATAAGATTAATGGTACGGTAGGTTTTTTAGTGGTGGGGTTCAATGGGACCTACAAAAACATTAATAAAAAATAATAATAAATAAATAAATAATATTTTTTAAAAACGTGTGTTTACACCTCCATCAACAAATTATTCGTGGATATCGTTCCCATAAACTTAAGTAAACGAAGCAGAATATAAAATTACTAAAGTTCCGTCAGCTGATCATCTATCAATTATGACTTTGCTTCTACTCACTTAACGTCCTCCATATAGACTTATATGGACCACCCCATGGTCGATTAGTTACCTCTTGATGTAATGGCTTATGCATTCATAAGCATTCAATAATAATAATAATATTCTGCATTTCAATTCCTAATTTTAGTTTGGCGTCTTCATTTTTTTTCAAAATATTTTGAATATTTAATATTAAAAAATCAATATAATTATAAAATTTAATATTTAAAACAATACTTTTATCAAATTTGTATCAAAACGATGTTGTTTTATCTATGTCATCAGATCATATTATTTTAAAGATCCAATAATGTAATTGGAATTAAAACTAAAATTTACTGATATAATCAGAGAATTAAAAGTTTAATATATATATATATATATATATTATACCACCTAAAATATAATAAAATTTGACGTAGTTTACCAAAAACAATTACCTGAATATTTATAATACAACAATTAAAAAAATAAAACATTCATAATACATAAAAACACACTGATTTTTAAGTATAAATTTAACTAATTAATATAAATTTAAGACTAAATGGAAAAAATAAGCATCTAAACTATATTATTTGTATATTTTAGGTGTATAAAATATTTTCCGTTCAAAGTAAGTAGCTAACGTTTTCGACGTTATATTTTAAAGTGTCTACGTCATACCAATCGTTAAAAAGTCATTATCTAACACGTGCCACATTTATATTTTATGACAATTTTAATTTAAAAAAACTTTAAAATATTATTATGTAAAAAAAACTTTTTTTAAAATTACAAAAAAACCTAAAACTTTAAAATCTCTCATTCCAAACCTCATTATTATCAGTCGTCGTCGTTCATCACTTATCGTCATCGTCGAATAGCCACCCACATGTTGTTGCACCTCCGCTACCGACCATCCTTCTTATTGTTGTCCCAATCCTCCTAATTTCACAAATTCCTAAACCTAATACCCAAATTCCTAATCCTGGTCTTAAATTTACCATATTATTTTGGTTTAATACAAAAAAGTGTCCAAACTATACCATTTTTCTCATTTAGGTGCCTAAATTTTTTTTCGATCAATCCAGGAGCCTAATGTTACAAACGTTATTATTTTAAGTGTCTCGTCCGTAAGCACCGTTAAAATATTCCATTAAGTGACATGTGTCATATTTATATAATATTTAAAAATTTATTTAAAATGAAAAAAAAAACTTAAAATCACACGCATATATATTTAAAAAAGCTGAATTTTTTTTAATCTTAAAAAGTCCCAGCAATTTCAAAAACCCTAAATCCAATCCCTACAACCATGTCAACCGCCACCCTTTTCTGTCATTATCGTCGATCGAACTTCCACCCACACGCACCTCCATCAAACGACCAGTTTCTCTACGAACAACCACAAGAATAGGAGTAGATGAACCTAAACCTGACGAAGAACAAAGCTGCAAATTGCGACACCACTCGGCCCCGATGACCACCTTGATGACAAGGACGATGACGACCGACAAGGGAGATGGCAATAACAACATCGATGGCGGTGTTTGTGGTCGGCAAGGGATATGGTAAAGCTATGGTTAGGGGTTTTGAGGTTGATTTTAGGAATTTTTCGAGATTTGGAGTTTTTTTGTAATTTTATAAAAATTAGGTTTTTCTTAAATATAATAATATTTTTGAATTTTTTTAAAATATTAAAATTTTAAAATTATATGAATACTACACGCGTCACTTAACATATTTTTTAATAATGCTACAATCAAGATATTTAAAGTGATAAGGTTTGTAACTTTAAATAATTAATAAAAAAATTTAAATACCCAAATGAAAAAAATTGTATATCTTAAGGATTTTTTTATATTAAACCTATTATTTTTCCGTTTTGGAGAGGGGAAACGTACAAATGATGCACGAAAAATACAAATAGTTTGGCGCACCAAATGATGCAATCGGTTTTGGGTTTAACCAACAACGACGATAACAGTGGCAACAGACGATACGTAGATGGTTTTTTATCGTTGTCTAAACGGCGGTAGCAGCGGTGGCCGACCGCCAATAGTTAATAATGGAGTTTTATAATTAAAGATTTAAGATTTTTCTAAGATTTAAAAAAATATTTCTTTTCAATCATAAATTTTTTAAAAATTTTAAAAATATTTTTAAAAAATATATATAAATATGACATAGATTAGATAACAATTCTTTTACGATAGTGATGAATCACATACTTAAGGATAAATAAAAAATATTAAACACTTACTTAAAAATGTTTTAAATACGAGTCAACTTACTTTAATGATTAAAGAAATTGTTATTAATTTTAGAGATTATGAGTTTGAACATCAACTACTGTAAATATAATTGAACATTTATTGTTAAATGATAAAAAATACTTTATAAGCATTTTAGTTTAATAAAAAAATATATTAAAACCGTTAAAATAAATAAAATGTACAATTTAAAAACTTATGTTTTTTCATTAATCCTAAATATAATTTCCAATTATAAGAGGTGGGTCGTATTCGTAAATTTTAATAAATAAAGAAATGCTCCCTTTATTCCCCCATTCCGTAGCCTTTCGTCGCCTTCCTTTGACAAGATTCTCTACTCCGACTCCTCTCTCGCTCTCGATTCGATTAGATCTCTTCACACCCATCAAACAAAACCCCACATTGAACCAACCATGACGCTTGGCTCAGGAGGATCGAGTGTCGTGGGTTAGCCATTCCATCCCCTTTCTCCATTCTCTTTATTTCTCTTACTTCTCCACTCGATCTTGCGTTTTTATTAATCATTCCTAGATTTCGTTCATGGGTTTCAAACATTTCATCGTTTTTTTATTATCATTTCTTTCATATGTACTCAGTGGTTTGGTTAGTTTATATGGATTAAGATAAGAAATTGAAGGGGTCTCTCTGTTTTTCTATTGTTCTATGGGGTTATTATTTATTTGAAGTTTTGGGTAGCTTTAAATTTCTGTATTTGTTTCTGGTTTGGTTCCATTTCTTTTATATTTGATGTAAAATATGTTTTTTAAATGGCCTAGCTTGAGTATCTATTTAGCAATTTATAGTATGCATCTTATGATGTTTTTATCAAATGCTGTATATTTTATCAAGGTTATATCAACAAATATGAGGCCATGGAGATACCGCTATCTTTGAATTTTATGAGTATTGATGGTTTATGTTCCAGTAGTGTCCTGAATTCATTTTGCACGGAAAAAATTGAATCAAGAACACGATGAAAATTCACATGATGTGTATTTGTCATTATTTGTTTTAAAAGCACGTGTTGTAGCCATTGATGATAATGAATTTCTTTTCGTGTGTAAAATATTTGCTATGTTAGACTTGTAACTTGTAAGAGTTCATGCATTCTTTTAACAGTTACCATATTGGAGGGCTAACATAGAGTATTATTAGAGACAATTTATTCTTGTCATTATTGATGTCACCTCTTTTGCCCTGTTATACTACCTGGACTGTCCAACTTTGAGAGGTTCACTCCTTAAACCAGAGGAGATTATAATAACCAGAAACTTAGGATGTTTTCTAAATATCCGTTAATGGCATTGAAACAATTAAGAAGTGGCAGGATAATTCAAGTCAAGAAGGTGAAGCTGACTCATCCTTGATCATTGAATCCAACTGAAACAAATAATGAATATATGGCAAGTCTAGCCTGATTAAACTCGGGCAATGAGATTGTTAGTCATTTTAACATGATTAACATGGAAATATGAGAGGCAGATTACTTTTCCCAACCTACTTTTGGATTGATGTTTTTTGGTATCAAATGCAATGCTCAGATTTGTTAAGGTATTAGCTTTTACATATCATGAGTATTGTAAATTCTTTTTGCAGTGCCTCGAAACTTCAGATTGCTGGAGGAGCTTGAGCGTGGAGAAAAAGGTATTGGAGATGGTACTGTAAGCTATGGAATGGATGACGGAGATGACATTTACATGCGCTCTTGGACTGGCACCATTATTGGTCCTCATAATGTAATAGCTTATTTTACAGTCGAGAAATCACATGATGCTCTTCCTTTAGATGAAACTTTGTGTTTGTGTGGTCAACCATATGTGAAAATTCTGAAACATCGGGCTGATATGCCATTACCCTAGTATCATATTCTTGCTCATGATCCTTTTCACAAATAATTAGAATTCTGGTATAGTGGTATTTGTCTTTGGGATTATACTACTCATGAACAGCAGATGTGTTACTGCATTTTGAAAGTGGTCATTTCGTACATGTACTTCTATTTCTTTCTTTCTTCGTGATTTTTGTTTTTCCTGTTGTCAGACTGTACATGAAGGTCGAATCTATCAGCTGAAGCTGTTCTGTGATAAAGATTATCCTGAGAAGCCACCAAGTGTTCGTTTTCATTCAAGGATAAACATGACTTGTGTTAACCATGAAACTGGAGTGGTATACTAATAATTTGTTTCGTATCTGTTTCTACTTGATCCCATGCTGCCTTTATTTATTGCTTCTTTTAACAATTCACTGGTTTGAGAATGGTGCAATCTGGTTTGTTTCAATTTGTAATCTACCCAACCCTCGACTATCCCCCCCAATCTCCTGCTTTCTTTTCTGTACAGATGGAACTTGAATACTCGTTCTTCTGAAAGTAATTCAACTGTGCAGGGTACTCTGATTAATGCAACTGTATTTGTTTTATTTTTTTAACGAGTATGCTTACTGAAAACTAAATGACAATAATTTGATGGCATCTGATGACAACAGGTGGAACCAGAGAAGTTTGGTCTTCTTGCAAATTGGCAGAGGGAGTATACCATGGAGGATTTACTGACTCAGCTGAAAAAGGAGATGGCAGCCCCACATAACCGAAAGCTGGTCCAACCTCCTGAGGGTACTTACTTCTAGCTCTCAAGATTTTAGATGTCCTGGATCTAATCGCATATCCCGTACGCAATAGTTTGTAATGCTTGTTGATCTTAAAGAAAATATTGGGGAATGCCCCAAAAGCATCTCCAATTACCTTTCCTTGGCTTTGTTTTCATTATCTTTTCTTATCAAACTATGTTGAAGGGATGCTGTTTGATTAATGGAACTTTATCCGTGTCGAATATAAAAAATGTCCTTTTGATTATTGTTTTAGTTAAAGCCTCATTTTTCCCGTTGATTAAGTAGCATTTCAGAATCTTCTTGTTCTTTGATCTCTTTGTTACTCTATGTACCAAAAAGGGGGGGGGGGAAATAAGGAGAAACCCAGGAATTTGTGTTTACTTGCCGGTTCCGATGGTCAAACAATTCAACCTGCTTAATTGATCAGTGTTATGTGTCATACTCCCAATTGAAAAGAAGTGTGAGTTGAGTACAAAATTTTCTATATGTTATATGCAATTTTTTGGGTATATTTTTCTGCTCATTGCTTATTGAACCAAGCAAAAGGTAGAAGAAAAGAAGCTAAAACATTATTGTTTTCCTTGTCAGCTGCTGTTTACTTGCACCATTTATTTTGCTGGGTTGGGTGCTTTGATACGAATCGTTTATGTTGGAGCTAAACAATTTTACAGAAAACGATAACTTTATAGCCCCAACACATACATTCCCTTCTCCATGCAATTCTTTTATTTCAAGAAGAAAAAAGAAACCATCCACACTCACACTAACCTACTCAACGGTTTGATTTCAACTTGTATTATTCACTCTTAAAGTTTAAGCTCCACTCGTGATAAAATTCTAATGTAGGCTCATCTAGAGTAAATATGAGTTTGATTTTTATGTTTAAGTTTGATTTTTCGCAAACTCGTTTACCTTGTAATATTTTTTTTTAATTTGTTAAATTTGCAATTCTCTTTTGGAGAGTGTAACCAAAGCTTTAGGATATAAATTTAGAGATATTTGTAAGGCTACATCCGAGGTCAATAAATCTAGTGGATTTGAGAAATCTTTTGTGTGGATGATTGATATATACTTGATTTAGAAGTTGAATAACTTCAAAATCGTTGTTCAATTTTTTATCTTTCAATTGTTTTGACATTGAAATTTTTAAAAATCAATTTGTCCCATCTTGACATATTGGGGATGATCAAAGAATTAAAATTTATTTTCTTCAGCAGAATATTGTCATATTTATTTACTTACAAATTATAAATAAACTTATTGAGATTTAAAATTTTCATGAGACAGATGTGAGATTAAACTTAAATATATGACTGATGTACACAATAAATTAGCAAAACCCTATCCGGCTTTTTACATACTATAATAAGACTGTTGGATACTGGAATATATCCATAAAGTATATATTAAATTGTTCAGTAACTTTTTCGTGTTGAAAGGATCTTAGAAGGGTACATGACTAACGAGAGTACGCTTACTTTTTCTTCATTAAAAATTATATAGGTAAAGGATTATATCCTCAAATACATTTTGAGTAGAATAAAATTCGTCTGCCCCTTTTGTGTGCTCTTTAATATACCTTGCCAATGATATATAGGTGGTGTTTGTTTTCACTGTTTAAGGTGTTCAAAGCTCTTATGTATGCGCCGTGCAAACCACGCGCAGACATTCGGCTTCGCAGACCGTATATTTTATAGAAGACAGAAGCTCTTCTAACATCTGCGCGTCCTCTTCTTTACGCTGACGTGGACTTATGTCTTCAAAGCTCTTCAAACAATCATTTTTGCTCTTAATTTTTTTAAAATTATAAAATGTCATTAAATTTAATGAATTATTATAAAATAGTCACTACAATGTTGTAATAAATTATAAAAGTTCGATAATATAATAATTATTTTATAGTATTTAGATAAATTTATTAATAATTTTATAATCTTTTAATAAATTTAATAAGTATTTTATAATTTTTTAAACTTTATTGACGAAAATGATCATTTGTATATAACTCAACGATATCTAATATACTTTATTTGAAAAAATATATTAAACTTAGTAAAAAATATTATACAATTAAACTTAGTAAACTTTTTTTTATATAAAAACTTAGAAAATCACGGGGACATACAATTATTAGCATTAAAAGACAAAATAAATGTTTTAATAAAAAAAATATTCACACTATTGAAAAATCTGATTCTTATCATTTAAATCTGGTAAAGTACGAAAGTCCCTTTATACAGAATAAATAAATAAAAAACAAATAATATATTTTTTCTAAATAGAAAAATACTAATTGATGTATATTATATGGAGTATATATTATATATATTTTTTGATGTTACTAGAATCGGATTGTACCACTTAAATAAATTAAGATGATTTAAATGTATTATAAAATCGAGTATTGATATATTTGTGAATCGATAATAATTGAGAATTAAAATATAATTTTTTTTAACAATTACTTAAACCGAAACAAACAGATTGAATTAAAATCAAATTGATTTCGTTATCGATTGATTTAATAATAATTTTTAAAATGATATATAATATTAAAACCAAAATCTAATAGTCCGTAGATGTAATAATTTATAATAATAAAATTCATATAATATTTATTTAATATATTTTTTCAAATAAAATATATTAGATATCGTTGAGTTATATACAAATGATCATTTTCTTCAATAAATTTTAAAAAAATTATAAAATACTTATTAAATTTATTAAAAGATTATAAAATTATTAATAAATTTATCTAAATACTATAAATTATTATTATATTATCTAACTTTTATAATTTATTACAACATTATAGTGACTATTTTGTAATAATTCATTAAATTTAATGACATTTTATAATTTTTAAAAAATTAATAGCAAAAATGGTTATTTGAGTATAGTTTAAAAAATCAGTTTATTTTAGCATTCTGTAGAAGTTAAAAAACAAATAGTCTTCTTCTTGCAGACTGCAGACTTTTGGTCCACCTCTTCTGATGCAGATGTGGTCCGCAGACTACAGGCCTTTTACCTCTGCAAAAACAAACACCACCATAGTCTCGTGTATTAATATTTTGTATTGAATTAACAACCGTTATTTTAACCGTTTATTTAAGTTTTAGGTTTGTATATAGTCTTTTTATTCACTTTTTTCACACAATAAAATCTATTTTCATTCATGATCTAACTACAATTAATCAAAATCGCTACCCATTATCGATAAAAATCCTCTGAAGTTACTGTTGACCTTACCAACAGTTCCAGGCCATGACAATGGTGGATTTTAAATCTAATATATCGGTAAATCACTTGAATTCTAATATTAAAAATAAACTGGCTAATTGAATCTCAAACTTTAAGAATTTTGATCAATTTTGTATTGCTTTTATCAAAATAATCAATCCACAACATACAAAAAAAAGAGAATAATTTTTAATAAATTGACATATGATATCGACACAACGGACATAAATGACTTGTCTTCAACCACTCGACAATACAATTGTAATGATAAACATGGCCGCAAAGCATCAACGTAACCTCGTCCTGATCAATGAACTCATCCAAACAGACAACACATTCTTTTCATGAACTCGAACCCTCTCCAAATTTCCTCCTCTTCTTCAACATACGATAATCTTCATCTTCATAGTCCTATATTTGACCCTTTTCAAATCTTTAATAGACGACTCACTTCAGGTGTGAAATTCAAGGAACTCTCCAGCGATTCATCAACCAACTCATCGATCTCGTCATCGAGATCCACCTCAAGCATCTCGACTCTTATATTCATTACTTGATGTTCAAGGTTCATAGGCAAACTATCGGCATGTCGTGCATAAGACAAGATATCAGGAACAAGGACAATATCAACGAATTCTTGGGTTGCTCCAGACTCCGCGGCCATAAAACGTATGATGTTACGAACATTTTGTTCAAATAAAAACATGCCAGGATGACCGGTGACAAACTCATTGAACGTTTGTAAGGTTATCCCCGGATAAAGAGACGCAACGTAACGAATCTCTATATCAATGTGAAGAAAACAACGTGGGATCATAGAATCAACATGCTCTAAATAACTGACGCAGGCATGATTGATATTGAAGGAGTAACGAAAAGCAATGGCAAGATTTCTGGGTTTTTAATTATTGATGTGATTTCTTGGAGTTAACACGTGGATTTAAGTGAAAGAAAATAGGTAATTCAACTATTCAACATATATATTTTTGATCCATTTCCCTGTATTATATATGGGATTTTTCTAAAAAAATGGCTTGTTTATTTAGGAGATGTATTTATTCTAGGCTTAATATAAAAGAAATGTTCAAATTATACCTTTTTTAAGTAGTGCATAAACTTTTTTCGGTCAATTCATGTGTTTAACATTACAAACGTTACCATTGTAAAAATATTTGGGTAGAATAATGCTTTATTCCCTCTATCTTTTAATTACATCAAACAATCCTATTTATATTCAAATAACTCCTATAACTAACTTAATAACAGAATTTTAACAAACTTAACAAACTATGCAACTAAAGTAAAATTAGTTAACAGTTTCTACACTCCCGCTCAAGTTGGTGGTTGCAAAGTGACAACTGTCGTTTTGGATGTCAAAATAATACCTTTTTCTCAATTAATCAATAAGGAAATGCGTAGTGTAGAGAAATAAGGGTCGAATCCTCAGGGACTTAGAAAATTACAAATTTATGTTTGATTGTTTTAAACCAGGCGTGAAAGTAATAAAAGGGAGGATTTTGGTATAAATATATTTAAGTGATAAAAGCGATTAAATAAATAAAAACAATTTAAATAAAAATAAGAGAGTAGAGATTGTGGATAAATACTGTAAAAATAGCCTCAAGCCTTGCTTTGACTCAATTTCCTTATGATCATCGAATAATATTTTCTCTTCGGGATTCACGACGGTTACTTTATCTACAAGGGCTATCCCCGTGACTCTATCTTGTATACCGAATACCCAAGGCAATCTTTGATTCCGGCTTTGCTAATTGATTCAACAACATCAATTGTCGTAGATCAATTACCGTTTAAGTTCGTGGCTTCCGACTCGGATTGTTGCTTCGATAACCGTCAATTCCGATCTCAATTCCCTCTTGGCGAAGCTATCTTGCCAAGTGTGTTCCCAGGAAGTCGAATTGCTTTCTATAAGCCGAATCTTCCTCCTACACGTTTAATCGCAACAACCTCTTGACCAAAGTCGATCTTTGATTTTGAAAACTGTTTTG